CAAAACCAGTTCAACATTCATTCCAGAGGGAAGGAGAGCTGATTTCCCTCACTCAGGAACCCCACACAACCCTTGAGATGGGAGCCCAGGGCACATCTCACCCTGCTCAGTGCCATTARTGCCATCAACACTCACTTTTTTCCCAGGAATATCCTAAGCCAGGCCTAACCCYTGACTCTGGGCTGATTAAACACTTTGCTCCTGGAAAATGAACCATTTCCTCGTGGCATTGGCTGTATTTCACTCYTTYGCTGCTTTATGACTTCCTCTGAGTTGTAAAATCCTCTGGGGATCCTCCAGGGTGAGAGCTGACACRARTGGCTGTCAKAGCCCAGCATTTTTAGGAAGKTTCATAACTTTTTCAGTTCTGGGTTTGCATTTCTCTACATTCCTGGACTTCTGGAGGAAAGGTGGCTTTAACCCAGCATCCCTCAATGATGGCCATTAATGCCATCAACGCTCAKTTTTTTCCCCAGGAATGTCCTAAGCCAGGCCTAACCCCTGACTCTGGGCTGATTAAACACTTTGCTCCTGGAAAATGAACCATTTCCTCGTGGCATTGGCTGTATTTCACTCCTTTGCTGCTTTATGACTTCCTCTGAGTTGTAAAATCCTCTGGGGATCCTCCAGGGTGAGAGCTGATATGAATGTCTGTCATAGCCCAGCATTTTTAGGAAGGTTCATAACTTTTTCAGTTCTGGATTTGCATTTCTCTACATTCCTGGACTTCTGGAGGAAATGTGGCTTTAACCCAGCATCCCTCTGCCCATATTCCTGTTTTTCCCTGATTCCAGGAGCTGTGGCTGCTGGAAATGCCTCTCCTTTCCTCCAATCCTTTCCTCTAATCCACTTTTCCTCATTCTCAACATTTCTTGTTCTCCTGCAGGTTTGCAACACGAGGGGATCTTCAGAGTKTCTGGGTCCCAGGTTGAGGTGAACGACATCAAAAACGCATTTGAGAGAGGTGAGGAAAAGCTCCTAGAAAAAAAAAAAAGGGTGAATTTATGTAAATTCTCCAAAATGGCCTGTTCTGAGTGCAGCTTGCTCCCTCTGATTTTTTTTTTTGGTGTTTCCTGAGTCTCTCCCCRGTGCTCATTAACCTTGAATTCTCGGCTGTTTGCTGTTGTGCTTTGTGCCCTGTGGAGTGTCTGKATAATAAATATTCCCAATTCAATCTCCTCCGGTGGCTGATAGCTTATTGATTGTTTGCAACACTAAAGGACGCAGAGAATTTCATTATTAGGTGTAACTGCAGTTTCCTCCCCTCTCCCCCAGCCCTTGGTGTGCTGGAGGATGAATTTTCTTTTTTTTTTTTCCCTGTTGTTCAGGCACAGCTTGGCTGCRTTTATTCCAAACACCAACGAGGGAAGGAGGCAATTTTCAAGAGAGTGTTAATTTGTCGTGGTTTTTAATAGATTTGGGTTTTTTTTTCCTGGGAAGAGCTGTCCCTACAAAGGCAGGGAGCAGTTGGAGCCTCATCAGCTCCTCGCTGGGCTGTTCTCCTGTGCTCCAGCAGGCATTGTGTTCACTCCTGTGCTCCCCAAGAATGCAATCTGGGGGTTTTTAGCTCTGCAGGAGGCAGGCAGGCATTAATTAGGCACAGCAGGTTAATTTGGCTTTGGGGGGAGAGAGGGGTTTAATGAACAGAGTGTGGGAAATGTGGGTGATGTCACCTGGCTCCAGTTTCCTCCACCTGAGAGGTCAAATCCACAGGAGCGGGGGAAGCAGAAATGTTCAGCACAGGGAGGAGAAGGTTTGGTGTCAGAATAAGACTTTTTTTACATAAAAGTGATATATAATAAGCATTTTTTTTTTGTAATAAAGTATATATAGTAATATTTTTTAATTTTTACTATATATAGTAATATTTTTTACATAAAGTAATATAGAATGAAATAGAAAATATGTATGGGAATAAATATATTAAATATATATAATATAAAGATATGTATTGGGCTGCCAGGACCCGTGTTGTGCAGTGCAATAGGGTGGAATTGGCACAGATCCCATTCTCCTGCCCAAACCCCATTCTCCTGCCTGCCCAATATATATTTTATATTATATGCTCAGACCCCATTCTGCCCAGTTCCCATTGTCCTGCCCAGTTCCCATTGTCCTGCCCAGTTCCCATTCTCCTTCCCAGACCCCATTCCCCTGTCCTGACCCCATTCTCCTGCCCAGTTCCCATTCTCCT